ATTACCATAATAGGATTTCCCACCCTCTTAACAGTCACAGTGGGGGGCCAAGTTTTTAATACATAAAACTTGGGGGATGCAATTCAAGCTTCAGTGACTTTTGGGGGAACACAATTCAATTCACTATACTACCTCAGGATGCTTGGAACATGGATGGCTCCAGTATTGGCCAGCAACCCAGACGACAGATTGCTGTGGCTATTCAATCAGCCACTAGTACCATGTGGGTAGAATCAGGAATGCAGTGTAGGAGCCAATGAGTGGATATATGAGCTGTCTGGTTAGTGATTATGAAGGAGCCACACCCAGTAACTGTGTAGTTATTTCTGGGTGGTAATGAAAAGGTTAACACTGCTACTAACTCAATGGAAATAGGGTCAATGGTTCATAAGTGGAAGGCTATTATGGGGGGCAGAACTATGGGCAGAATTTGGGAGCAATTACAACCAGGGGCTAATGTTGCAGTGTTTCACATAGCAGGTTACCAACAATCATCCCCTGGTGAAAATATGGAAGCAGATATCCTGTTTAACAGTTTCTTTTTTGCCACATTTCTTCCTGAGATCTATGTACTGTGTGCAGCTTCACCACCAAAAATCTTCTGCGGTTCTTTGAATACATCTTGAAACACAAATTGGACAGTTTTTTCTGCCGGTATTGGAATGTGTCCTCTGTTATATATACCATGTCTCTCTGTCCAGGCAACTCTTCATTGTGCACAAATTAAAGGAACCTCAGCCAGTATCCAAGCAGATTGAGTCTGGGTGAAGTTAACAGAAGAACAAACTCAGGGATGGAGATGAATCATCTGATGGTGTGGTATCAGACAGAAAGTACAACTTGTGCACAAAAACTGGAATCTGAAACTCCCTTAAATATTCACATCTGGAAATACAGCATGGCTTTCATTCAATAGAAAAGAATGAGTTCAGCTGAGGAATAGCCACAAATATCCCATAAGGAAAATCTCTGTCCACATTGGAATAAAAAAGATGCTTGCAACAAAATGCTTGCAGTGTAATAGAGTTAACAGTACTCTTTAAGCAATTACAATAATTGTATATTCACTTTTAATCCACTTTCTTCACCTCATTGTATATTTCCTGGATTAGTATTAAAACAATGTTTGAGTTTAAAAGAGTTTGTATATATTTAAATTAATAACTCTTTAGATTCCTTCTTACATGATCATTTAGTGAAAAAAGGTTTGGGTTTTTTGAGATTAGAATTTTTCACTTTGTAACATTTCTTTAAAGCAGAGTTCTTAGTAACAGTAGCAGTTCATGATTTCAAACAAACCATTTTGTACGTTACAGATTTTAATGGATTATCTAATGTTACGGGTTAGTGTTTTCAATCTTTACAATTCATTACATAAATTGTAGGTGACTGTGGGTCTCAAAAACATCAAAAACTTGTAAGTATCTTAGTATTATCCTCAATATGCCTGCTCTGAGTGCACATTTGAGACAAAACTGCCATGGGTTTATCGCTGTTTTTTCAAGCCATGACAAAGGGTTGAAAAAAAACTTTGGTGGTGGATAAAAGCTTAAGCCAAGTATTCAGTAAGGAATGTGGATTTCCCTGATTCCATCTCCAGGAATGGTGAAGAATGGTATTATAAAAGAAAAAATGGGGACTGGTTGTTTTCTGAGCAAATTTGCAAGATGGGTTTAAAAATCACAAGGAGATTAATTTATGAATGTGCTGGACTTCGTGTAACAGACATAAGTATGTGGCTACATCAATAAATGTGTATAGTCAGGTTTTTGACACATAACTTATTTAATATTACAGAGAAACAATAGAGAATATCAAATATTTCTCTGATCCTGACAGAGAAAATAACCCACCCCCCCCCCCCCCCCCCCACTTCCCCAACCCTTTTTTTTTTTAAACTTGGGTTTTTCCTTTTTGGGGGGGGCAAACCTTTTGGTGTTTTTT